CCAGAACCAGCCGGAAGGAGTCCGCAAGGCGACCGGCTTCTGCCCCAAGCGGCGCTCCGGATCGGGGCCCGATGTCGCCTACCGGATCTCCCGCCAGGCTCAGATCAGCGCCCCCACCCGGCAGCTCTTCCCAGGTAAGGCCACCCTGGGGTGAACGCTGGCGGAGGCTGGGCTGGTGGAGGAGGCGTGGGTGGGTGGGGGGAAAGAGAAGGCCTTTTCCTTGGTAGAGGGGGCACCGCCCTCCCCAGGCTGTGAGGGGTTTTCCCGCCATTCCCTGAAGGGCCACCCAACCCGGGGCCAGTCCTAAGAAAGGGTAACCTTCAAAATGTGACCTCCGAAACAGCCCTGCTCAGCAACTGGGAAACCGAAGGCCATGGCTTCCTTGCTGGGGTCTATCCCTTTCTCCTTCGGCCTTCCTCTTTTCCTGCTGCTTTCCACATTTCCCGGCATGGTGGCCTTTTTAAAAACCCCAATCAGCTCACTCGGCTGGCTTGATTTTGGATGAGCTCACATCTAAGGCATGTTGGCCTTTTTAAAACCCCAATCAGCTCCCTTGGTTGGCTTGATTTTGGATGAGCTCACATCTAAAAATGGCGCAAGCAGCCCGTTTCATGACTTCCCTGCACCAGCCCTCTCCTGTTCCCCTTGAAAAAGTTACTTTTCTTTTTTTTGGACTCTCCAGAGAGGCAGCTGCAACATCATCCATTCAGGCAAAAAAGGCAGCACAAAAATCTTTCAGTCCTTTTAAGTAAGAGCTTGTAACTCGTGTTGTTCCCCTGGGGATTACGACTCCCATCATTCCCAGGCCACGCCAAATCCCATTTGGACCTAACATCTGCTAAAAGTGCAGTGGGACCAAAATCACCTTCCGCTACAGGAGGTGGCTGGAAACGGTGTGTTTTTGGGGGTGCTAAATATGATGCCATTTTTTCTGGACTACGCCCAAGATCTTGGTGCACAGCCTGAAGAAGCTGAAGGATCATCGAAAGCTAGCTGTTCGTTTGGTGGCTGTTTTTTTTTAAAGGGGGTCAAATACAGAGATCTGCTTCTCTTGCCTCTGTCTTGTTTTGAGAACCACACTCTTGTTGTTTTTATAAATGATTCCCCCCCAATTTTTATAGATTGCTGAATTTGTCTAGGAAAGCCTCTTTTTTTGGGGGGGGGGTGAGATGTCCCATGAGGCTGGGTGCTGTACCGAGAAGCTGGGGGTGCAGTTTGCTCACCCATCTTTTTTACACCCACATCAGCCTTGAGGTGGTGGGGAAGAACTCTTGTCTCAATTCTTCCCAGGTGTCATCAAATGGGAGGGGATCCTTCTCAAGGGATGGAGGCCCAGGAACTAGTTAGGGGGGGCAGGGTCCTACAGCCCTGCAATCCGATTGGCTCTTTAGGTGACCTGCCCCGCCCCAGAATGGGCACAGACACATCCCTTGGGGGCCCAGATGGTCTCAGACTACAGCTCCCAGAAGCCTTTTTACCCCTAGCTGTGCTGTTCAGGATTTGGTGTGTTTATATGTGTGTGCGTGCGTGCGTTTGTGCAATCCAAGAACATCCAGGAACCCAAAGTCGGGAACTACAGCCTTTGGGCGGAATGCAGCCCTGAAGGGGCCTGATCCTTCCCTCGCCTCCTCTTTCCTCCCCACTCCCTTTGCAGGTAAATTCCCGGAGGACTTTTCCATCATGGCGCTGGTGAAGCCCAAATCCGGCCTGCAGACCTTCCTGCTCTCCATCTACAACCAACACGGGCTGCAGCAGCTGGGCGTGGAGCTGGGACGCTCCCCCGTCTTCCTCTACGAGGACCAGAACGGCCGCCCGGCCCCCGAGGACTACCCCATCTTCCGAGGGGTCAACCTGGCGGATGGCAAGTGAGTGCCCCCCCACCGTGCCCCCCCCCATTGCTTCCTTCTTTTACCCTCCACCCTCTGGAGGGTCCTTAATTTAGGCGTGCTGGGCTCCTTTCTTGCAAATATTTTTTTACCCCTCCTGTCTTCTTAAAAAAGGGATCCAAGGCAGCTTACATCACTAAAGCCAATATTTTAAAGCTCGGTGAATATAAAAAGGTAGCTTACGTCCTTGAAAGACAACGTTAAAGCTTAAAACAATCAAGTATACAAATACGTTTAAAGGAACAAATGGAGACCCACCCTGAAAAATGGAAAATACACGTAGTACTGAAAACAATCCAGCCAAAGCAGTAATCCATCTAAACATTATACTCAACGAACCAGTCACTGACAGAAGGCTTGCTTGAAGGGAAAGGTCTTCTGCCGGCTTGCCGAAGGACAGCAAAGTGGGGGCCCAGCCTCCTTTCCAGTGGGAGGGAGTTCCAGAGTCTAAAGGAGCAGCCACAGAGAAGGCTCTCTCCCAGTGTCCCCGCCAAAGGCACCCGGGAAGGTGGTGGGAGCGAGAGAAAGGCCTCCCCCACCCCTCGGTGATGTTAACACCCGAGACGGCTCATAGAGGGGGACATGATCCTTGGGATAGCTTGGTCCCAAGCCGTTTAGGACTTTATAAGTTAAAACCAGCATTTTGAAATGTGCCCGGAAATGGATTTATTTATTTTATTTATTTATTTTATTTATTTGGGAAGTAAAACCCACCGCCCCCGCCCCCCTGCATGTCCTTTGTTGTTTCTGGAAAGGAGGCCTGGGTTGCAGAAATTCGGGCGACATTCACCAGACTGGAAGTTCGTAGCGGCTGCTACCTGGAGCAGGCGGGAGTTGTGGGGAAGGGGGGCGCATGGCGGGACTTTTCCCTGTCCAGGTCCAGACGTGCACTCCGTGTTCCTTCAGACTCCGGCCACGGGTGAGCCTCCCTTCGTATAACGCTGGGAGTTATTCTAGGAACCGGCTCTCGGGCGAAGAGGTGGGAATGTCTCGCCCGCCTCGACAGTGCGCAACGTCTCTGATTTCTGCCAAGGTGTCCTTTCCGAAAGGCCAGGCGTGTAGCAAAGGCCATCTTGCGGGCGGGGGAACGTTGGCAGCCTTGGGAGGCGCTGAGAAGTGGGAGCTGCCGCCCTCGAGGTTTTTCTCCAGGAGCCGAGACTCTGGAGCAAACTGGGAACCCGTTTAAAACCTCGAATATAGAATAGAGAATGCGGATTCCAGAGGTGGGCAGAAGACCTCTCAATTGGCTGGAGATGATCTTGGAGGCCCTTGGAAAACCAGAGACGGTCTGTTCCGCAGGACGGGAATACCCCGTGAAAGGAGACCCGTTTCCCGACCCACCTGCGCACCTCGCTCAATTCCGGAAGGCTGGAAGAGGCCAGATGTGTGAGTGTGTCCCCACCGGTTTTGGCAGCTGCCGAAATGTCTCTTGGCAGCCGCCAGGGGCACGTTCAGGCAGAACTTTCCGAGGAGCAATCTTCGCTTCCCCCTTCATTTTTTAAAAAAGGAAACTCAGGTTCCTAAACTCTGCGGACGTTCAAGGATGTGGCTGAGCTGTGTGTGGATGAGGGGGGCTTAGTGTGTTCCCAAATGCATCTTGTTGTTGTTGCTGTTGTTATGTGCTTTCAGGTTGCTTCCGACTCATAGTGACCCTATGAATGAGCCCTCCCCGAAAACATCTGTCCTCCAACCGCCCGGCTCAGCTCTTGTAGACTCGCACCCGTGGCTTCCTTTAGGGAGCGAGTCCATCTCATGCTGGGTCTTCCTCTCTTCCTGCTGCCTTCCACCTTTTCCTGGCATGATGGTCTTTTCCAGAGAATCCTGATTTCTCATGATGTGCCCGAAGGAGGACAGCCTTGGTTTGACTCCTGAGAGAATTCAGACTTGATTCAATTTAGGATCACCCTGTTTGTCTTTCTGGAGGTCCAGTCTATCCACAAAGCTCCCCTCCAGCACCTTTCAGCTCCCTTGAATTGCAGACGCAGGGTGACCCCGGCAAACCCATCCAGCGGGTGTAGATTGGTGTGGGTTTTTATCCCTGTTGCGGCTCTCCCGTTGCCTCAGCTATGTTTTGGGATTTCCTTGGCGTACGAATCCTTATGATTTCCTGCCCTTCCCTCCTCCTCCTCCTTTTCTGTGACAAACCTGGGAAGTTCTTCTGCTGGAGAGCTTCGTGGTTTAAGCATCTGGTTTCTGGAGCCAGAGACTGGGAGTTCAATTCCCCGTTCTGCCTGCTTGACACAGGCTGGACTCTCGATGACCCATAAGGTCCCTCCCAGCTCTGCCGTTCTAAGACGATGATGCTCATGGTCATTATTATTGATATTAAACTTCCCTTCCTATGATTTCCCCAGTTGCTTCCTATTCTCAAAGGTCATGGTGGTGGTGGTGGTGGTAACGCTCCGGATTTTATCCTGCCCTTCCCTGGAACTCTCCGTGGTGCTGAATTCCCCAAACAGGTTCAGTCTCTTGGGAGACTCGTGCAAAGTGTAGGCTGTAAAACCTGGAGTGAATTCACAGCCTCCTGAAAGTGACGCTTCCAGATGCTGCTGACTCAGAAGTCCCCCACCCTCCCCAAATTTCTACCCCACATCTCTTTGTGAGACGTTGATTTCTTCTACCTCCTGGTTTTAGATCTTTCTGGTTCATCTCTGGTGTCCCAATTCACCCGGATTCCTTTCAATGCGATAGTTCTTAGAAAGATCAGCCTCCCTCCCTCTGGTTATTCGTCTGCGTCCCTTGACCAGGACACAAAATGAAAAACATTGAGGATGCGTGGGAGCCTCTCCCAACCACCGCTGCGCCTGAATGAAAAGATGCACGGATCAGTCAAGGCTCGCCTGCTTTCCTGCCTCCTTTGGCCCTGATCCTTGACTAAGGACAATGATGTTATCTGCACATATATTTTTTTATCCCCGCGGGGGGGAAAAGACAGAAAAGAATCTGCATTTCCGGAATGGGGAAACGCAATCGATCGTGATGTATCGCCAGGGTGGAGAGGTGGCGGTGAGATACACAAGGTGGCTGAAATCCCGTGATGGAGCAGAGGGAATCCCCACTATGACAGGCCCGTGGAATCCGTGGCCCTTATGGAGGAGCGGAATCATCAGATTCCTACTGATTCCTTGGGTCTACTTTAGTGGCCACTTACTCTGCTCAGCAACAGGGATATCAGCCTGTGTAGGATGCATTTTGTTTTTCCCTTTCTTCTTAGTTAGGAGAGAACGGCTGGTTCCTTCCTAACTTGCTAGCTCAGTGGTTTAGGCGGCTGGTTGGGAGTTCGATTCCCCCACTCGGCCTCCCCTGACAGGGGTTTGGGGATCCATAGGGTCCCTTCCAGCTCTGCAGTTATCAGATTATTATTCTTAAATTCAATTTACTGAGCGTCTTTAACTCTATGAATGTAGGGTGGAACATAAAAGTCCTGGGGGGGGGGCGTGGAGGGAATCCCAAGTGGGGTGGCCAGAGGTTCTCTGCTCTACCCCTGGGGTGGCCCCCTACACATCGCAGAAATATCGATCCCTAATAAATATGATAACAAAATGCACATGAACGTTTACATGTCCTTTTCAAGTGGTAAAAATGGTTTGTTTGCCGGTTGGCTTCCATCCTGTGGGTTCTTCAAAGAGCGACGGGTGGAGGAGAGGCAG